ATGTACACGCTCTCACGCACATCTCAATAAACACCAGCTTTCACCATACAACCACCTCCAAATCACATCTAAAGTCCACTCAATGAAGTTTGATAAGGTTTTTCCAGCTTTTGCATTTTATCACTGGTAACATTATACAATTTTTAATACAATTTTGACCTAGAGGCATCAATCTCTTGAAACTGTTATGCAATGCAGCACTTTATCTTACAGAGAGAGATGAAAAGATTTCCTATTTTATCTGGGCTCAGAGAACATGCTAATTTAAAACTTGAATGTGTAATAGCTGCCTCATGCCCTGGCAAATATGGTCAACTGGATTCGGACAAGTGTTTTTTTTTTTTTGCTAGAGCGTGTTGCAGCCTATTCTACCAACACTTAGGGTGCTTTCACACCTGTGAATCAATTCAGTTGTTCCGAAACAGTGATTAAAATGGTTACATTGTTTCTCTTTGCTCTTGGTGCAGTTTGCTTTCTTGGCAAAGTTTCTAAATGGAACAAAAGAGCTAAAACAAGTCTTGTGTGAGTAAACTCTCGTCACATTGGTCAGAGTTTCACGGTTTATATAGCCGTATGCCTATTACATATCCATAAAACACTATGATATGACCGGGCTCGGATCATATCGCTTTCTCACTACAATCGATCTGCTCCAGAGTTTGTTTCAATCGAGCCGAGACCACCTAATTCAGGCGATCTCGGAGCGATTGTTTTGGCGCGTATCCAAGAGTGATTGGTTGCATCTCATGTCATCGATGAGAAGAGGAACCGACATTCATGCGAGACAGCAGAGAAGCTACTTTTTATAAAGAAAAACCTGCCACTTTTCCTGAAGTAGGCTAAGTAGGCTTATGTCTAGGACAGTTATTCATTTGTTGTCATCCACATTTTTTGCACTATTCAATGCACATTTGTTGTTGTAGACATACAGTTACATTCTTTCAGCAGTCAGTTATAGGCCTAACATAGGCTATTCAAGAAGGGGGGCTTCAAAGATGGCCAAATAAAAATATTTTTTTTTATTTTACTAATTTATTTATTTTAAGTTATATTGTTCTTTGTTTGTATATTATCTGCTGGAATGTTGAAAAAATATTCAGTGTTAAATAAATATTTTTTAAATTGTATTTTTGTTATTTGATTTATTTCTCTGAAAAGCAACACAAAATAGTAAAAAGCTAATTTTTACAATTTAATTATTGTAATGGTGAAAAAATTGGCAAACTAAATGGAAAAAAATGCAAAACACCGCGTTCGGTTTCCGGCCTTCGGCCAAGCAATTCATTATTATTCGGCTTCGGCCAAGAATTTCATTTTGGTGCATCCCTACTTAAAATGTTTTTTACATAATTAAAATTTAAAACTGCTTTTATTCAAGCCAAAATAAAACAAATAATACTTTATCCAGAAAAAAAAAATTATTGGAAATACTGTAAAACCTTGCTCTGTTTTACACTTTCAGTTATTATTGTTCTATAATAAATTATGTAATTGTACACGGTATTTGTTTATGTTGTTATTTTCTGTGCCTTGGCATAGAAATAATGGCATACTGCTTGGTTAGATGAAAAGTACACATTCTTTACAAACCAAAAAAAAAAGTATCCTTCGAGAGCTGCTCCATACAGCAGATGTTCGATCGAGTGCTGTAGAGGCCCCCAAAAAGGAGAGAACATTATCTCAAAAAACAGCAATGTTTCCACCAACCAGCTAACAAATACAGTTAACTGCCGGTTTCTCCAAAGCAGTGTTTCACACATACTTTCTCTGAAAGTTTTTTTTCCTTTTCTGAAATAAATGATCATTGCGCAACAACCACAAGAGACCTGCATATCAGATTAGCATAAAGCTAAAAAAAAAAATACCAAGATAACAGCATATTCAGCCTAAAAACAGTTAAAAGACCGCCATATCTTATAAGTAAAAGAATGTGGGCCTTGCATGAACTTGTATGAACTAAACACTTTAGATCCAAATTTGCACAAGCTTGGATCGCATCTACTTCATCCATGAAAAGACAAAATCTGAAAACCCAGAACATGATTTTACTGAATGTTGAATACTCCATTACCAAGCCCCACATTTTTCATGTTTCTGGCTCTTCTTATTTATTATTGCCTATATAATTTTGGCTGTTATGCACATGATTTCTTGAATCCACAAAAAAAAACCAGTATGATATATGCATATTACATGTAGTTTGTCAATAAACTGAGGTTTAAACAATATTTAAACTTTAAAAATGTATTGAAAAACATCATAATTGTATAATGGAGAAAAAAATTAAAAGAAATCCCAGATAAACACTTTCATGGCATACTGCAGTCTCAACTTAATCCCATTTTTGTGTTTATATTTTTTTGCTAACTTAAAGCATAATATATTGGCCACTAAAAAAAGAATCCGATTGCTACTAAACATGCTGGAAAGTATTCATACATGAGGTATATTTACCAGCAGTGTATAAAGAGGAAATGTAATTTCCATAGTTTCCATAGAAGTTTAAAACAATAAATATCAAATTCCCTGTTTGAAGTTAGGCACAAAAACATCCAACTTGGAACTGACGTGAAGGAAAAACTAAGCAATGCATTTTGTGAACCGAAAATGAAATTCTATAGCAAGAATGGGTTAACAATAAAATAAGATCTGTGCAGAAAGCTGGGCTGGGAACATACAATCCCACTCCAGAGGCCACAGAAAGGAGCATGCTAGTGTTTTTAAAAAGCCTGGGAGCAGAAACGGACTGAAATTCCACATATGCTGTTCTCTGAAGTGAGCCCCTGTGGCTCAGAGAGAGAGACAGAGAGAGAGAGAGAGACAGACAGACAGACAGACAGAGAGAGAGAGACAGACAGACAGACAGAGAGAGAGAGAGAGGCCCCATGTAAAACACTCCCCCTCAAACTCCTCCATAGGTCCAACCCCAGAAGATTAATCCTAAAATTCAAAGAGAATGAAGAAGAAAAAAAGAGAGCTAGGAGGAAAGAGAGAAATCTGGAAGATATGAAAGTGGCACCTAATACGGCTTTACATTTTTAATATAATAAACCAAACATTTTAAAAACGATGGTGCTAACCAAATATACTAGCTGAAGATTCACCAGAAATAATGTTCATGTCACATTGAAGACAAATACTTTAAGCATTAATGGGGGATTTTTCTGCCATTCCATTTCTCCATTAACTGATTTTTTTTTTACACAATGTTATTTCCAAGGAGGAAGGAAAACTAGTGAATTACCAGCAAGACTGAAGTAATCTTCCTGAATTTTCAGAACAAAACATCAAAACATTCTCCAAATTTTAAACATTAATGTTATACATGTAGCTCAGAAAAAAAGCTTGAATTTTGTGGTTTTTCAGCAATGGAAGAGGGAAATGGGGTTTGAGTAGAAGCTCTAGTATGTAAAAAGCACATTACCATGAGCTCTGGCCATATTCCAGATCTGCTTCTGGTTTACATTCCGTAAAACTCCATTCTCCAAGTCGCAACCCCCATCCAGTCTAAGCTTCCTCTCCACTTTCTTAAAGGCATAGTTACCCCAAAAATGAAAATTTGTTCACGCCATACCTTTATAAATCTCTATTTTCTGAACACAAAAGACAATATTTTGAAAATATTGGAATCCAGTAATTATTGAGATCCATAGTGTTTGTTTTCTACTATGGAAGTCAATGGTTAACAGTTTCCAACATTCTTTCAAATATCTACTTTTTATGAGAAAAAAAACCTCAAACTGATTTGCAATGAGTTTAAGTAAACTACAGAATTTTCAATTTTCTTTAACACAGGCAAGAATATAAGAAGAAAAAACATGCCAGTCTCATTTTAGCCAAAAATGTGTATGCACCACAGAAAAAAGTAAGTTGCGTTTATTTTGCAAAGCACAAAGTAGGACCAGACATAGGGCAATACTTTTAAATAGCAACTTTGAGTGATAGATCTCACTTAAAATCTGTTCCTTAACTAGATAACCTGAAAAACGCACATCTAGTTTTATCATTACCATGGCATTATTGTCTTACTACTATTACCCAATGCAAATGCCAAAAAAATAAAAAAATAACAAGAGCCAACAAAACAAAAAACTGGCTGGTATCTTTAATTTCAAACACTTTAAAACTCACATTTATATTTCTTAATGATAATTGTGCGCCATTACATTAAATAGCAAATATTTTGACAGAAACAAATCAAAACATGGCTCCATTTTGAAAGCTCCCCCAGAACCTGCATTCTATTACACATGTAAAAACAGATCAAAGCTTTTTAGACTTTTGACATCACTGGAAAATAACTACATACCTAAAGCACATATTAAGAGAGCTGGACGATATATTCAGGGAGCCATGGGGGGCTCTAAACGCTCATACTGTGGTTGTGTGAAAGATGCAGCAATGTCAGACAATTACAAACTACTGTGCGCAAACCTTCATCCAAATCTGGGCTTCCTGCCATGTTTGTAATTATGAACCATAGCCCAGCATAAACCTTAAACTGCCTGAAATATTCAAGGGACATTTGTGTGCAGCAGCTATAAATCCAATCTCTTGATGAAATGGTGGTGCAAAATCTGGTCACTAGTTACAAAAATGGAATAAGGAGTGTGGGTATTTAGAGAAGCAAGTGGGTTTAGCATAAGCATGAATAGGTCTAGTTAAGAGGATACAGGGTCAGTTAAAATTCTGCAACTTGACATCCAGGTAATATGGTTATGAAAAATTTTTAATGCTAAAAATACATCAAGATCTGCTGAAGATCACTGGTTATCTCTTGTTACCGAAAATAAGTCTAAAGGTTAACTACAGGTTTTGTGAAATTATGCAAGGTTAAAAAAAAGCTAGACAGTCTGAAGAATTATTATTTTAATTAAAAAGCTCATTTGAACTCAACTGTTGATTGATTATGTTTTAGTCCAGTCAGCAACATTACCAGATAGCTAAATGTGGTACAAAAACTGAATATAATTTTTTTGGGGAAAAAAAAGCTCACTCACTTTGCTCAGAATCCGAGTCTTGTCTTGTGGGCCCTGGGGCAACCGGTAGAGGCCTTGGAGGTCTCGGTTTAGGAGTTGGTGGAGAAATCTTTTTCTTGCCGATGAACTCAACATACGTTCCAGGAAAGTCCCCCTTTTCCTGGGTGGTTTCATTAAAGCCAGGCAGCCAACCAACTTCATCTGGTCTCTCCTCCATTCCCTCCATGTAGCCAAGTGCAAGTAATGCACCTTTATTGACTGTAAGAATGTCCCCTACATGCAGGTCAATATCCTCCTCCCTCTCCTTCTTATAGTCATACAGTGCTCTGTACTGATATCCTTCTGCACTCATTTTGACGCTGTTGTTTCCAACTTTTGTGTTGTCACAAAAACTATCAACTATCAATCAGAACCACTACTTATTTGAGAGTCAAATAAGTTAAAAGATTTTATCCAAAGACTTAAAGCCTTTATTTTCATCCCCATCCACACTTGACAGTCTGTTTGCAACATCAGATTATGTGAAACTGATAGTCCAATGATTGGGTGCACCTTCAAGGTGCTTCATACAGACTCTTCCCATCTGTGTGAGGCCTGCTCCCAGTGATCTAAAAAGAGTAATTCAAACCTACAACACAGAAGATAAATCAATGTACACGTTGAACAACATCAACAACAACAAAATCACTTCAATTTATCTACGTTGATGCAAAAAACAAACACATTTGGCAAACATAAAAACTAATGCGTATATTCACCACAAAATACAAACTGAGCTAATGTAAATATTTTATTATTGCGGCTACACCTTTGTATAAATACTTGATGTCATGTCAAACAACAAAAAAATTTCATTGTTAGGTAGCACCGCACACATAAATGCGACGTCAAAAGAACAAGTGTACAACATTTCTGCACAAGTGCGAATTAAAGACCAAATGGCGCAGAAGAAACTCCAATGTAGAAATGCTGACAGAGCAAAACCCTCCACAAGTTTGAAAGTAACGTTACTTATCTAACAGATTATTTAACGATTATTAACCAGCGCAATGGTATAAACCAACTAACGTTTGATTAATTTAGCCAAGCGCAAACGAATCCGCACGACAGATAGTTGAAGCGTATCTTTATACGCACAAAATTCAATATTTAAACAAAAGCTACAAATCACACACAGGAGATTTTAATCGAACTGACCGCATGAAGTCTCCTTGCATTTGGTGTTTACTTAAAACTAACTTAAAAGTTAACGTTACATTCATATTTATTGAGTTTCATTAATTCTGCATGCTCGGGGTTAGCATATAAGCTAACATTAGCCTTAAGTAATAATAATAAAAATATATACCGTAAACGAAACGATTGCTTTATGAGCAAATCAACATTAGAAAATAACAACTAAATCTCCGACACTTACACATACACGAAGAGCTGCGGCCATAATAAATTGTCAGTGTCAAATAGTTAAGTAAAGGGAGAGCATGTAATAGGATGCAGTTGGGACACGCTGTACTGGAACAATCGACACAGTAAAGAGATCCTGCCAAATTTACTATAATCTCAACCTTAAAGCACATAAGTTATTCATCTTAAACACACGGTCCATTTCATCAAACAAACATACCTTGCAAGAAATGATGAAAACCGAAAGGAACTGATGAATTTCTGCGAACTTTAGCAAGTTGTAAGGGTCCCGTTCATGATAGCCAGGGCCGAGAAAATCTCCTTCGCTTCCCGTAACTCCAGTTTACGCAGCTCTCCAAGAAATCCAACCACGCCAAGAGCTATAAAGCACTTCATAAGACGAGTCTTCGGGGAAGTAACGTCCAGTAGTAAGTTAAATTTTAACCATCCATCTAAATTAGCTTCTTTAAAAAAAATATTTTACTTAACAACTGTGCTCGTTTCCCGACAGTAAAACCGACTCCGCCCGAGTCACCACACACTGAATCCTTCAATGGCAGGAACACCAGAACACAAACCACGCCTTCCAGCTTGCGTCAGTGCCAGTCCCCCTTACGCCTCGACTATCTCCATACATGCTAAAATGGCTGGGGATTCACGGTGTTTCGAGAGAAAGATAACTAGCCATGACATCTATTGAGAATTAAATAATATCTGCTATCATGATGTGTGTAATGTGGCAATTGAAATGTGACTGATTTTCTACAAAAGTAGACTATTTACTAGGTTATATCACATAGACTCAATGCCCGAAGCAACTGTGATAAGGGGCCCATGTGGATTATTAAAAACCCCAAATGGGCCGCAACCCCTTAACCTGTCCCCTTAATCTTAAGCTCATACTTTTTTCAAACATTTAGTTTCTTTCTTCTATTAAACAAAATATTAAGAGATTTAATTTTTTTTTGCAAACCTCCCCAGATAGCAAAATACACTCGGGCCAGTTCCGGCTAGATTGTCGCCTGCCGGAGACTAACCCCTCGGCCCAACTTCGGCTGCCGGACTCGGGCCGGATGCCTGTGGATTCCGGCCCGAATCAAGCGGGCCAGATGCGGCGGCCGTAAGCGAGCCGACGCTGCGCATCCGCGCCGGAATCGGCGCGAGGGTAATGTGCGCTGCGGCCCGGAGCTGGCGCGACTCCGTATTTATACACCTTATAAAACCTTTTGGTATTACATTGGTACTTGATATATGGTATTACAACCATTTGAATTTATATAACAGCAAACACAGGCTATAATGTAAACACAAAGTGTAAGCACTGCGTTTAACCTTTGAATAAAGTGCAAACTGCATACATATTCTGTAATGAAAATAATCAGACAAATGACAAAATAAATAAATGTTAAACGTTTATTGATTGCATGAAAAAAATAGAACTAAAATTTTATAAATAATTTTGAAGTGCACAAGAATATCAATATAAAAACAACACAATAAAGACACACAGAAAGATTTAAACAAAAAATCTAAAAATTACACACAAACACATATGTTTTTTTAAACAACCCTGTTTTCCCAATAGACTTGAATTAAAAATTTGTAAAAAACAGCTAAATTTTATATAAACCTAAATATAGAAACCAATTTAAGATATAGCAAGAAACATCTTAAAAATACCAATGACAATCCGTAAAATAGTACAAGTCAAACTTGTAAAAAGTACTGCAGAATTCTGAAGAAACATCTTGAAACATTTTTTAATAAAACATTAAAATAATAATAAACAAACAAACAAACAAATATATATATATATATATATATATATATATATATATATAATTGCAGAAGTATAAAGTCAAACTTTTTTTTTTAAATAAACTTGAACAAAAGCAATTGCACAAACAGCAAGACATGAGTGAGATGATTATACATTTCATATATATACACGTCTTGTGCAATTTTATATTTATAATTTTATTTGTATTACGTTTATTAAAAATGTATCAAGATGTTTCTTCAGAATTTGGCCCACACACATACATACATACATACATACCATACATAAATACACACACACACATATATATATACATATACATATATAAATGCAAATGAAAGAAACAAATTGTTCAAGTATCAGGGAACATCCTAATACACTTAAAATGTTGTTTAAAAAATAAAACAAAATAGTGATGTAGACATTTGACACATTAGCTTTCTCTTCTTTCTTCCTCCATCCCTGTCAGGGGCAAGTTGTAGCTACCTTGTAATGCATTTTTCCACTTCTTTATCAGTGGTGTGGTATGGACATTTGTCCTCACTCCATCTGTGATTAAAAGATAAACAGATAATTAGTAGTGAACAAGTACTAATGTAAAAAAAAAAGAAAAAAATAGGAAAAAAGTAGGCTACCTACGAAGCAAAAAAAAACAAAACTATAAAAAAAACAAATAAACTTAAAACACTTTGAAATTAGCAAGAGCTTGAACTTACCAGTTTCTTCATTTGTTCGGGCTGCTCCTTTAGTTGATTTTCAAGCTTTTCCAAATCAAATTGGCCAAAGGAAGGTCAAATGTGTTTACATCTGGAATTTCATCACGTCTGTTTTGGTTTTGTGAGAATCAGGCCCAGCTGCTGCTTTATGACGTTGCATGATTTTAAAACTTCAGTCAGTCGTGCTAAAAAAGAAAAATAACATTAGTATAAATCAACCTGTAGCTTATTCTCATACAACTTCTGTAAATACAACAGTGGGTTAGACACTGCTGATATTCTCTAGTTGATCTTTACTTTCCAACTGCATTAAACCTTAACAAATTGAGTGATGTCTTCAATTCTTACAAAGACATCACGAGATGCAATAAGTTCTGTCTTGATCTCAAACTGCACTAGAACAAAGATTGTAAATGTTCATAGGTGTACTGCAGGAGTGTCCAAACTTTTTGGGCCGAGGGCCAGATGCAAAAAAACAAACGTTGTCGCGGGCCAAATTTTACATACATCACACAGACACGTGTATATAAATATATATATATATATATATACACACATACATACAGTTGAAGTCAGAATTGTTAGCCCCCCTAAATTATTAGCCACCGTTTATTTTTTCCCCAATTTCTGTTTAACGGAGAGTTAAACATTTTTTTCCACACATTTCTAAACATATTAGTTTTAGTAACTGATTTATTTTATCTTTGCCATGATGACAGTAAATAATATTTGACTAGATATTTTTAAGACACTTCTATACAGCTTAAAGTGACATATAAAGGCTTAACTAGGTTAATCAAGTTAACTAGTCAAGTTAAGGTAATTAGGCAAGTTATTTTATAACAATGGTTTGTTCTGAAGACTTAAGGGGCTAATAATTTTGACCTTAAAATGGTTCATAAAAAAAATTCAACCGCTTTTTATTCTAGCCGAAATAAAACATAAGTCTTTCTCCAAAAGAAAAAATATTATCAGACATACTGTAAAAATGTTCTTGCTCTGTTAAACATCATTTGGGAAATATTTAAAAAAGAAGAAATAAATCAATGAGGGGCTAATAATTCAGACTTCAACTGTGTGTAGATAGATAGATAGACAGACAGACAGACAGACAGACACAGACAGACAGACAGACAGACAGACAGACCATAACAAGAACTGCTGCTTAATTGAATGCATGTAATAGCGACACCCGGTGGTTATTTATTTTATTACGTTCATTTTTGTATAGCGGGCCAGATTCTATTGATATTTATAAAAACGGCCCGCGGGCCGTAGTTTGGACACGCCTGGTGTACTGGAATGTACAGTATCTGTGCATCTTGATGGTGGTCTTAAGATTTCTGCCATAGTCATTGATGGTACTTGTGGTGCTGCATTGATTTCTGAAATCTTCATACCTGCCTTTTATCCAGCCTCTTTGTTCCAAGTAATTTTTCTTCATCATGGTATAGATGTGTCTATACTGTCCCTTGATCAGATAAATTTACAAAACAAAACATCACTTTAGTATAGAGCCAGGGCAAAACTCACAGGTTGTAATAGATCAATGACATAATGTTGACAGTATGTGTTTAAAATAACTGCAAACAAACCTGTTCTGTCTTTAGATGTATGACAGTCATCGTCCTCATCTGTCTACCAGTCAGAAATCACAGTTGCGTGTGGATGTTTGAGTTGAGCTTCCTCATATGCATCTATAATAAAACATCGCATTGTTGTTAACCTCCCGTAAAGAAAAGTTCAAATCCTGAAATACTATCAAAGTTAATTAATGCATATAATACATATAATGCATATAATGTTATAGTGTAAATAATCAGTACACAGAAGGTTGCACAAGATTTATTCGGAGATTCATGCAGAGTGACAGCCTTATGAATCTGAGACATAGATTTGTAAGATGGTCAAGCACATGCATTATTCTGTACCCATGAAGATTAACCTACCATTGTGAAAAATGTTTGATGATGATAGCCAATAACAATAAACCATTTCAGCTGTTTGTGAAGCAATTAGTAATGTAATGTCTGAAAAGCTCAATCTATGTTGAAAATGTATCAGCAGTTTACAGCTTATGGACTTTTAGCACACAACTATAACATGCCTATTCACGTTCAAAAGAGTGTGCCATTGACTGCTTTGGTCGTGATGTGCTGCAAAATGATCTCACTAACCTTTGTTAAACAAGAACAATAAGACTTAACCAACAAATATTGTTACCCATTCATTTAAATCAGAATTTATCACTGTCAATAACATAAAAAAATAAAAAAAACATCAAAATCTGCTTTAAGACGTTCAGTTTTACATTAACTGACCATTACAGCTTGAACAAAAGATATAATTGATTCACAGAGGCTAACACATATGAATTAAAATGCATAGTAATATATTTCTCTTGGATAATTTAAAGAGAATAGTAAACAGTCGAGTTTCCATCATTTTCGTGACTAACTGCATAAACAAGATAAACAATATTTTATTAATCCAAAACGATTAGTTTTTATTTACACATAATCACAGAATTAATACTGTTGGATAAGTATACGCCTGTACAATGATTTTTTTTCAACATCCACGGTACTTTATAATGTTAAATCAGGAAAAAAACACGTTTTGCCAAGTTAGTTAATGGATTCGTCTACAGAAACTTTCTTTAACGCAAAGTTAGCATACACACAAATTCGTTTCATGTTTCTTTAAAATAATTAAAATAGTTTTCAGTTACTACACACGTTACAATCTAACATTGTGTAAAAGGAAAAGGAACTTTCAGACGTGTTTGTAACTGTTAGCGTTAGCATACATTAGCTCCAGTCGTGTTTCTTAAAGCAAGTTACATTTCGTATCAAACTGTTTTAAATTACTAAACGCTGTTACAACCAAACACAGTGGAAATGTTTTAAGCTCTAAATTCGCTAATTTTACAGAACACAAGCAGTAAAAAGCTTACCTTTCTGACCGGAATCCACGGCTGTTTCTCAATTCCAAGAACGCAGAGAATGGACTTGCGTTCTTGTAGAGTGCGGTCTTGCCAGCTGTCC